AAAAAAAAAAACATCCCTGCTCTGTATCACTCCACACCACCAGTTGGGTTTCTCTCCCTATTAACTAGATAGATGGTCTCAGGACATACAGGGTCTACAAAGAGGTCAAACTCTTGAACCTACAGAGGCCTTTATATTTTCTGTCCCCTCTGCCAGTTCAAGAAGTCACTTTCAAAGGTGATTAGAGAAGAAAGACCCCTTGCCCCCCTTTCTCAACTGTCCAGGCTGTATAAATCCCTATGAAGCTGGGTCTGGGTGCTCTTGGAGATCTGAAACCACCTCATTTTAGTATCCTGAAGACATTGTTTGAACTGAAAATCTCAGACATAAAATAAACTTTTACTCCCTTGATCCCTTTTCAAACTTGTTTTCTTTCAGATGGCACACCCAGTTAACCAGGAATTTTAGAATTTTTTTTTTGGAGACAGAGTCTCTTGTCGCCCTCTGTAGAGTACTGTGATATCACAGCTCACAGCAACCTCAAACTCTTGGGCTTAAGCAGTTCTCTTGCCTCAGCCTCACAAGTAGCTGGGACTACAGGTGCTACTACAATGCCTGGCTATTTTTTGTTGCAGATGTCATTGTTTGGCAGGCCCAGGCTGGGTTCCAACCCATCAGCCTCAGCGTATGTGGCTGGCACCATAACCACTGTGCTATAGGCACTGAGCTGAATTTTAGAATTTCTGAGAGAAATGTGAAATTGACTATGCCCTAGTGTGACTCAGCAGAGGTGAAATGGAATGAAAATTGGTAATCTTTGAGGACCTGAACCCAGACCAGAAAACTTTTACATTTGGTTTAAATGTGAAAGATTGGCATAGAGTTTTTTGGTATATCGGTTTCATTAATGGCTCTGAACACCTTGGATCTCAGCAGTCAATCCTGAGCCCGGGCTTCCCGGTGAGCGGGGCGGTGGGCTCTGACCTGAGAAGGCTTAGTTTGCTGGTCAGTCTCTCTCAGTACAAGTTTGCTTCCAGATGTTGTGAGCCAACATGGGGCTCTGCCACGTATGTGGTTTGCGTGAGTGCTTTCTTCAGTGGCACTTACCACATTGCAGTAAGTTAGTTCGCACATCTGAAGAGCATTCTATGTTGAGATATCAGCAACATGAATGTCGACACCGGGAGATCTGGCACTGTTTGCCTCTGAGAGGGCTCAGCCACCACGAAGCAGCCGACGTGCCTGCTTCTCGGGGAAGAGGCAGCCAGGCACCCAGACCTCTTCTCCATGTGGCCAGCCACCTTACTGCGAGCTGCGGCTGCAGCCGCTCTAAGACTGAGTTGCTTGTATTTAAACTGTGTGCTGCTCCTTAACCATCCATGTTGCCCTCCATTTCTGTGCAGATTGCAGCCCCCCTCCTGAAGAGTCCAGCCCAGGTATGTGGTTTCTGTTCAAGGCTCTGCTGATGGCTTTTTCATGTCCAAGTAGTCTTTGTAGCTAAGTTATCAAAGATTACCTGATGTTCCCAGAGTTGGGAAAATACTTTAGGACCTTCTTTACTGTGAGGCAGGTAAGACTTGTCTTAGGTTTGGTGAGGGACCACTTGGGCTGAAGGAATTGTGGCCTGAGGTAGGCTACCACATGTATGTTATTTTTTACTTTTACGTCCTAACGCCTTTTCAGATGATTAATGTTCCTGAGTATATTGGGCTCTCTGAAGTGGATGACCTGATTTAGAGAGGTACACATATGGACATATTTCCTGGGCATTCACTTGACCTTACAAGGGAGTGCTGCTCTGAGGACACATTAGATAATGTGTATCCACCCAGTGTTATGACATCGGTAATCCTGCAGCATCCTCTCTTCTGAATCCGGATGCAGTTGTAGAATTCTTATCAGACACAGCTAGGGGCTTCAGTTGGAGTTAGTGCTAGAAATGTAATCTTTCTGCGCTTTTGCATGTAGAAACCATGTATATGGTTCTAGTTCAGGGGTTGGCAAGCTACATATAGCTCTGAGCTCAATCTTGCCCACAGGGTTACATAAAAAATGTAACCTGTAATGGCCCCTATAAAAGAATCTTTTATTGGAAACCAGCTGTGTCCACCCATCCAGGTATTGTCCATGGCTGCTCTAACTCCCTGCCAGAGTTGAGTTAGTCACAACCTAGGCCCAGTGGCCTTCAAAGCCTAAATTATTTTCTGTATAACCCTCAGCAAAAAAAAAAAAAAAGCATGCTAACCCTTGATCTAGTTTATTTTGAAACCTCCTGGATTTGGCTTATGGTTTTCCCACAGTGAGCATGAGCCCTCCCCAAATAATATGTTTTTTTTTTTTTGTTTCGTTTTCTTACATTCTAAAAATCAGCTACATGATCTGTGTGATGCGTATGTCTGACTAGATGTAAATGTGAGATAGCAGGACACTGCTTTATATCTAGAGTGCAGCAAATGGATGCTTGTGGGATTGACAAAGCTATGCCTGTCAGCCATCAGTGAAACCTGTCTGCTCACATGGCACGGCCAATCAGCCAGCCATGGCGACTCCTGGCAGCAACCCCAGAACTCTACTGAAGTTAAATCGTTGGCAGGTGGATCTGACTGGGCACATCTTACCCTCCCAGTTTGCTTTTAGTCCCTTGACAGTTTCTCTTTTCAAAAGAAATCAGTGTAGCCTTGCGCGGGTCTTAGACCTCAACCTGCGTGACCCTCAAGGTCACTGAGATGGTTGCACAGATGTTTAAGCTTGGTTTTCTCCTCCCCATTGCCTCTCCTGGGCCCACACTTTGTTCTCCTCCTTCATATGTGTCTCTGGGCTTCCAGTCCTCCTCAGCTGACCTCCATGACAGACCAGTGCCTTCAGACCAAGCTGCCTGTCCCCTGAGCCTCAGCAGTGAAGTCTGGGACCATGCCCAGCATCCAGGGCTAGGAAAGGGCTGGTGATGTGTGCACCTGCCGTACAGAAGGTCAGGGGTTTTCAATTCTGGACATACTGAAGTTTGTAGAAATAATAGGAAGTCTTGGGGGTTCACAGGCAGCACACAGTGCCTGCCTTATAGAACCCTCCATGTTTTACATCAGCTATGCCATTCCAGATGCACTGGTGGCTTTTCCACAGTTGATGTTAAATGTTCCCCTGCCAGAGTTCCTTTGGCTTTCTCAAAAGCTATATTTAATCTGGGTTAAAACACACACACTTACAAACACACTCTCTCCTCCCTCCCCTACTAATGAGAAAAAAGGGCAGAAACAGAATGTGGATTTGTAAGAGCCTTCCAGAGTTATCTAAAATAGTCTGGTCCAAGGCTGAGTACCAGGCAGTGAATGTTATAAGTTAGTAACTATGTAAGGAGCTTGTCCCAAAAAGCAGATCAGCAACACCACTCAAGACATTGTTGAGTTGAGCTGACTTTTTTCATAGTAAGACTTTCTTACTATGTGTAAGAAGGTGTAAACCCTTCACCAACACCAGTGTTCCAGATACCTATACTTGTCCAGGCCCTGGGTAGAAATCACATTACTGCTCATGAAATTCATTTTGTTTGAAAATTATTTACTGTTAGGTTCTCCTCACAGTGGAAAAAATGTATTACCCACCAGCCCCTGTTCTCTCCTCCGCAGCAGTGGTCAGGCACGCTAGGAGTAGCATGGAGCTTACAGTCAGTCAGACATATGTTCCGGACCTGTGTTAATAAACCTCTCTCTGGGAATTAAATGAGAAAACAGTTACCAAATGAGGTGTTGCATTAATGGTGGTTGATGCTCTTGAACCATTCAGACAAGTCTGAGCCCGGCCCCAGCAGCTGTCACTCTTAGCTCCCACCCAGGTTCCTGTCTCCCTCTGACCAGGACAAACATCTGAGTGTTTTTTAAACATTCTTTCTGTACTTAAATGTTTTTCTTTTTCTTTCTTTCTTCTTCTTCTTTTCTTTCTTTTTTTTTTTTTTGCTAATGTAGCAAAATAGTCATTCTTTTATGACTTTATAGAGAAGTAGGCAAAGTAAAAAAGTTGTACAGAGAGAGCTTGCTCTGAACATTTTCAGATTAAAATGATTTGCATAGTAATTTTATGTGTATGTACATGATAAGTAGAAAAGTCAAGTAAAATTGGCAACATTTGCCCCAAGAGCATTTACTTCTTAGTGAAGAATAGTCCTAATGACCGCCCCGCTTTCCCCAGTCTATTTGGTTAGAACAACCTAATTGCCATTGCCGCGTCCCTTCCCACAACTCTAATTGCCATTAGAACAACCTAATGGCAATGGCCATTAGACATGTCATTGGCATGTTGGGGAAAAAATGGCAATTATAAATAATGCCATGCTATTTTTTGATAGCCACTAAATATAATTGACATATACGCAATAGAGTTTTTCAAAGAAACCAAACATGGTCTCTGAGAATCTTAGAGAAAGAAGACTTGGATGTTATCCAGTGTCACTCTCACATTTTATCAGAAAGGACCCAGGTGTTGGGTTGAGGGGGTTGAGGGACTTTCCTGTGGTCCAACACTGCTGAGCGGGGGCTGGGGCCTAGGACTCACATTTTCCACTTCTCAGTCCCAAGTTCTTTGTCACCATGATTTATTTGCTAAGACCTTTCTGCCATGGACTTTCCAAATTTAAGCCCGCTGTTTTCCATCACAGATATAAATCCCTGTCCACATACTGTATGCCTGCACATACAGTTAGATCATTTCCAACTTCTAAACATGTACTTAAAAATCCTCATTAACCAAACACTGAGCTTAGGGAAGTTCTGCTGCCTGTTTCTGAGACTGTTTCTCCACAGCGCTCACTATAGCTTGGGAGAGCAGAGCCACGCCTCCCTTCTCTCGGTCTTTTTAGATTCTGTTTATATGAGGCATAGGTCACCCTCTGGCAGCTACATGGCCCCCACAGACCTGTGGCCTTCCCCGAGTACTGTGGCATGGTCTGGGGCATCTGTGGCTCAAACCCTCACCCTAAGGGTGTGCAGTACCCAGGCTTCACTCCACAGCTCCTCACCCTGTTTGGTGTGGTGGGTTCACTAGGGAGTGATGATCAAATGCCTATTTTTGGGCTGAGTGACTTGTTAAAACTTTAACCAATGTGGGCATGTCATTTCTTTTAAATGTCTTGTAAATACAAAGGCAAAAAGAGCCAAAACTAAAGATATCTTCCACCCTGTTTTTCTCCCTTGAGTTTCTATTTTTAAAAAGTTGTTTTGGTACAGGGTCAAAGTTTCCTTGTATTCGTAAAAGAAAACTAAGCTAGAAATAGATGGCACCAGGCAAGGAAGCCGGGGGCAGGAGAGAATGTGAGTTAAAACTCAGGAACCACACGGAGTGTCATTTCCTGCAGATGAGGCAAGTGAGGGTTTAACACAGTTGTACATAGCACACAGGCTGGACAAGGCAGAATTGGTCCTTGGCACCAGAAGAGCAGGGGTCTCTGCCTTCATACCTGGGCCAAGAGAAGTGAGATAACAGAACTCTCCTTCATGTCCTTCCTTCCTGGGTGGAGGAACTGTGGTGCTGTGGAAGAAGATTGGCCTGTACAGAGAGTATATTTTCTGGCCTCATCATGACTTGCAGAAACTTTTTTGTTTGCCTCAAAAGGCATAGTCTTGAGTATACTGTGTTTCCCTGAAAATAAGACACTGTCTTATATTTATTTTTTCTCAAGAAGACACACTAGGGCTTATTTTCAGGGGATGTCTTTCTCTCTGTGCCGAAATGCATGGTGTGGCTATGCAGGGATTCTGCATAGCCACACCCATCACTAGGTCTTATTATCGGGGTAGGGCTTATATTTAACAAATGCATAGAAATCCTGCTAGGGCTTATTTTGGGGGTAGGTCTTATTTTCAGGGAAACATGGTAGGTTCAGGAGGATAGGCATGTGTCAGAGATTACTACAAAGACTCAGGGCTGGAGGCTTAGAGACTGGGCTGGCTCTAGGCAGAGTATGGAGGGGTGGGGCAGGGACATGGGGAGGACAGTCCAGTGCCTAGGGGGTAGGTGGCTTGTTAAATTGCCAGGCATAATTCTTAAGGTCTTCCTAAATATCCACCCTCCACCATGCACAGGAGAGTGGAGCGAGGCCCTCTATCCGCTGCTCACCACCCTCACAGACTGCGTGGCCATGATGAGCGACAAGGCCAAGAAGGCGATGGTCTTCCTGCTTATGCAGGACAGTGCACCCACTATAGCCACCTACCTGAGCCTGCAGCACCGTCGTGACGTCGTCTTCTGTCAGACAGTAAGACTCAGGAACACCACCAGAGGCCACGGGTATCTGCCCCTCAGAAAAACAGGCTCAGGAATCCCTTTACCTCCCTAATCACTTGTAACAAACCACAGGTGGCTGTAGTCCTCCTGTTCTTTTAAAGTTTATTTACTAGAGGTCTAGATTTCAGCACAGGGAGGAAACTTACTAGATCAATATGCGTTTGTCTCCCTGATGAGCTGACACCTGCCAGGAGTAGGAGGCAAAGTTCCAGATGGCGCAGGCCTCTTTGCCACCTTTTTTTCCCCTGCAGAGTTCAGTGAAGACAACACAAACCTTGCTGTTGGAACAGTCTTTCTTCTTGTTCATAAAATAGTAGGTGCCTTAGTTCTGTGGCTCGTTGCAGATTTGTGTTATCTTTCAGAGAAAATAAGAGTTGAAATGAATGTAACAAGTTAAAGAGAGGCTAGCAAACTGATAAAGTGCAGGGTCACTTAGGGTCAGGGTGGGCCTCTTCAGTTCCCCCACCCAACCAGAGAGGCTGTTTCATCCTATAGCAAATCTCCCACCTAGGAAATTTTCAGTGACTATGAACCGGCTCACTCCTGTTTTTTGTTGCGATGGTGTGGATCTATGAGTAGATAGATACTGTGGGGAATTCTGGGCTTTCAAAAGGTTCTAGCCCAGGAATAACTCAGGCAGATCAGGTCTGAAGCTGGGCCAAAATCCAGACTCCCTTTGGGAGCTACCAGAGCAGCAAGCCCAGGGTGTTAGGCACCCTCCCTGGAGCCCCTGCCCTCTGCGGTCCAGAGCCAGGCCCTCCCCTACTCCCCAAGCTTCCCTGAAGATCGGAGAAGCTGCTGATGCCCCCTTGAGCAATGGAAAGAAGGAACTCAGGGCCAGGGCTGCTATTTGGTGAGCAGATGTGTACCCTGAAACTGCTTCACCCCTATCCCTGCAGCTGACCGCTCTCATCTGCGGCTTCATCATCAAGCTGAGGAACTGCCTGCATGACGACGGCTTCCTTCGGCAGCTTTACACCATCGGGCTGCTGGCCCAGTTTGAGAGCCTGCTGAGCACCTATGGTGAGATGCCCGTGGGCGCTGCTCACACCCAGGGCCTCTGCAGCTGGGGCAGGAGCCGCAGTTATCTGTGTGATCTCCAGGGTTTTTTCCAAGAGACTTTTCTAGTTAACACAAGTATAATGCATGCTGATTAAAATCCAAACCTCACTAAAACATGTAACAAAGAACAAAATGACAGTTATACTATGTACATAATACCTTGGTTTGGTTTGTTTGTTTGTTATGTATGTTTTTTAAAAAAAACTCTTATGTCTAGCTAATAGTAGTTGTCTGTTATGTACCTTGAAGGTCTTTCGAGTTGAGGATGGATGATAATTATGTAACCAGTAATGTCACGTAGGATGTGTGGAGTGTACTTGAATTGCTGTGTTAAGCCAGTACTGCTGGCATCTGTGCACATAAGGCGCTGTGAGCCCTTCCATAGCTACTAGGTGACTAAAAGAACTTGCTGGGTCAAAGGGTAGGAATATTCTAAAACTTAATAGGTATTTTCAAATTGCCCTCCAAATAAGCTTTCTTCTTCTTACCTTGTTTTCTGTTAATTTCTTTTGAGAAGATGAAAATGCATCATATTTTAAAGCATTTGTTAATCTTTGGTGTTCTAGGACATCAAAAGAGATGTCAAGCCCAGTGTAATGGAAGGATCTGGCCACAACAGTGCTTTTGTGCTGCCTCTTGCAGCACTTTTTTTTTTTTTTTTTTTTTTTTTGCAGTTTTTGGCTGGGGCCGGGTTTGAACCCACCCCCTCCGGTATATGGGGCTGGTGTCCTACTCCTTTGATCCTTTGAGCCACAGGGACCTCCCACTCAGCACATTTTTAAGAGCAGGCTTGGCCTTCTGAGTTCCCTGCATTTCTGTTTCCTTTCCACGGCCCTGTGCTTGCCCACAAAGGGGTGGGGAAGGATGGCGCATCTCTACCAGCTGCAGTTTTTAATGTGGCCATAGGATTTCAGTAGCCGTCCTTGCAGAGGAGTGAGTCACAGGGGAAGAAGCTCAGAGACCCCTACCCGGTTCACACCTGCACGCTCTCTTGTCACAGCCCACACCTGCACACTCTCTTGTCATAGCTGGGCTTGAGCTCGTTGCCGTTCGCCTGGGTGTCCCTTGCTAACTGTGCCAGATCCACAGAGAGAGTGGCAGCATCTCTGCCTGACAGCCCTTCCTTCTCTCGCATGCAGGTGAGGAGTTGGCAATGCTGGAGGACATGAGCCTTGGAATCATGGACTTGAGGAACGTGACCTTCAAAGTCACTCAGGCCACTTCTAACACGTCAGCAGACATGCTGCCTGTCATCACAGGAAATCGGTAGAAATGTTGGTTTAAGTTTCTCTGAGCCAGAGCAGTACTTTTTGTTTATGTTTATCTCATGGAATATGCTTTTCCTTTATAAATTTTTATTCTATTTCATTTGTTATAAATGCTGGTCACAGCCTCTTACAATAGTGTCACTCCTTAAAGATCTGTGGCTGACAATTTGGCCATCACTGAGCCACGGGGCCAGTCTGGGCTCTGGCACTGAGGTGTGCTCAGGTCCCTCCTGGCCCCAGAGTCACGGCCTCACCCCTGTTTTCCCTCTTTCCAGCGATGGGTTTAATGTGCGGGTGCCCCTGCCGGGCCCACTATTTGACGCCCTGCCCCGGGAGATCCAGAGCGGCATGTTGCTGCGGGTGCAGCCCGTCCTCTTCAATGTGGGCATCAATGAGCAGCAGACACTGGCCGAGAGGTGCGTGCCAGCCCGTGGGGCCACAGCAGCTGGGCAGCCATGGGGATGACGTAGGAAGTGTGCTTACCCCTCTTCGAATTCCAAATGCTATAAGGACTTTGTCAGCCTTCCTTCAGCCAACATTCTTTCATCATGACCATCATGTACCCAGCATGATCTGTGGTGCTGGGGACACGAAGACAACTCAGATAGGATCTCTGTCCTCAGATTTGGCTGGTAGGAGAGAGCTATGCAGGTGCAGTGATGGAGAGAGATAATCACAGGGAGTTACAGAAGCCAAGGAGGGGCACCCAGTGGGGTCTAAGGGCTCTGGCAAGGCTTGCTGGGGAGAATGGCTGACGTGTTTTGAAGTATGAGTATGAGTTAGATAAGGAGGTAGAAGAGAGACTGGGCATCTCAGACCAAGAAGACTGGGGTAGAGAAACAGTGCAGGGGCCAGTGCCACCAGTACCTGCAGTGCAGAGAAGCCTTGTATGCCAGAGTGAGTCCTGCCTTGATCCTGAAGATTTATGCCTGGTAGACTCTCCTTCAGGGTCATTTGCCATATTGTGGAGATGAGTTTTGGGTACTTGCGTGTGTAGGATACCTTTCTGTGCACGCATGTGTGGGGGCAGAGAGACTAATGGGGTATGTAAGGCCTAC